TTTTTTTTTTTTTTTTATAAATATGCCAAGTTCAATGTGAAAAACCTGGAAATCACAGCAAAGGGCTCTAAAGAGAAACTCAACTGTCACTCATAGTCTCTCATTCTTACTGACAGTGTCAGTGGTGGGACCTCAAACATCACTTGACCTTCAAGACCTCACTCTTCCAATTGTCCATGGACCTCCCTGTTCCAGAATTTGACCTAAGTGTACCAGAGCAGAAAAAAAGCCAAGCCACCCTTTCCTAACTTTCCTCCTGTGCAAACACATGGTGATACAGAGCTTCTAACAACACAATATTAATACAAGGGCACCATTTGTGGGTGTGAAACTCCCAAGGAGATTGGACACACTCCTTTGGACTTGTCACTAAGGGCACTGATGAGAGGAAAGGGGAAATTCTTCAAAATAACTAGAACAACAGATAACACTGGCAACAAAATGAAGGCCCGACAAACTTGGCCACAGCCAAGCCATGCAAACTATTTTCCAAGTGTAAAGTCGTATTTTTTTTTTAAGATTTATTTATTTATGCGTACAGCACTGGGGTGCAGGGGCAGTGAGAGGGTTCACCAGAGAGACAGCGGGAAGCAGAACTGGCAGATCAACTAAATACACTGCTGAGGGGTGCAGCGGGCGGTTCAGGAGAGGTCTGCCGCGCCATGTGGTCACTTCCAGGGCAGGCGGGGATCGAACTTACATGGAAGTGGCTTTAGCTTCTTAGTATAGTGCTTTAACCCGCTGCGCCACCAGGGAGGGCCGTAAAGTCGTATTTTTAACAAAAGTTAGCGGTACCACGATTTTCTCCATAGTGGGATGTAATCTTATTAACAGGAGATGGCTCTGCTGAATCATCTATCGTCTCAGAGGAATGGGCCCCTGGCCTGTTTGCAGATGAGGGGTGCAGGGCTCCGCAGCCGCCAGCCGCCGGTCGAAATAGGAATGCTAGCGCTGCAGATAGCCACCACCTCCTTGGTTCTCGCCCAACGGTTTAACCCCTGCATTACAAACGAAAACCCCCACCAGATCCGGACGGAACAGCAGGAGATTAACCCACTGTAGCAAAGTAGCTGAAAAACTGCAAACCCTGTTCCAAGAATCTTCGCCACTTCAGAAACGGTCAATATTGAGAACCGGTTTTTAAATGCTTGCTCAAGCAGTCGGGCTCCCACGGGAAACCTTAAGTAAACCCCTCCCACATCT